AGAGAGAGAGAGAGGGAGGGGGGGAGGGAATTATGTGCTTTGTTAACATGTCAAACAAGTCGAGTAAAGAAAGAACGAATTTTTGTTTCTTATAATAAATCGACTAAAAAAAGATAATGCAAGACAAACAAATATAAGCCAGCATCGATATATACCTTGACTTGGGGCAGATGGAATGGTTGCAGATGGCAAAGATGAGGGACTCCTCACTTTCCCTGTCAAAGGAAATGGGGGCTGGCTGGGAGAGCGAGAGGGAGCAGCTGTGAAGCAACAACTTCAATTTCTTGTTTAAATCCTATACCACTCGGAAGGCAGAGAAATGCTTGAACTAATTCTACTAACAGATACATGGTTGGATACACTTGCTTTCAATCGAGCCAAGAAAATAAGACTCAAATGCACGTGAAGCAAACAAAGAGAGCTTTGATATACCTTGGATTGGGGATGCAGATGGCAAAGATGGGGGACTTCTCAGATTCCCCATTGAAGGGAATGGTGCTTGACTGGGAGATTGAGAGGGAGAAGCTGTCAAGCAATGATCTCAATTTCTTGGTTATTGAATATCCACATAGCCATTTGAGGAAAGGGCAACACTTACAACTACTTCAGTACCTTGATACTTGGGTGGATGCAAATACTTCCTCCACTTGGGAACCACACCTGGAGGATGTGCAGAAACGCTTGAACGCTCCCGATTAAGTGGAGCAGGAGCCAGAGGAACCACTGGACCTTTCATTATAACAAATACATTCTTAACTTAGATATAGATTAAACACAAGATACATGTTGATATTCTACTTCAAAGATAGGCTCATAAACAAAAATATCCTACCTTGATGGTGAGAAGGTGGATGAAACGAGTCTGAGGGTGAAGAAGTTGGACCGTTGATTACTCTTTTTCTAAAATGAGGTTGGGGGGGAGAGAGTGGTGCAGAAACAGTGTTTGGGGGCCTTGCAGGTTGCACAGGTGAAGCACCTGCACAGATAGAAAGCAGTAGCTGAATGGGTGAAACAACTTTGCAACTTTTCCTTTTTTCTAAATCAAGATTTTAGCATTTTGGACTCTACAAAAGGAAACATTAAAACCAGTGTTCGGCCAAAGAGGCCGAAGCCTTTGGATTTTAGGCCTAGACTGAAGCAAAGCGAAGCCTGGTGCTATAGCTTCAGTCAGATTCAAGCCACTCTGGTGCGATTTGGATATGTTTCGGGCCGATTCGGCTAAAGCTTCGGCCTATTGGGCCTAAGCAAAGAAATAATATATAAAAGTATTTTTTTATTTTTTTATTTTTTGAAATTTTTATTTTTAATTTTTAATTATTTTTATATATCTTATATATAAATATCTAATTTATATATATTAAATTAAAAACAAACGTCTGAAGTCTTCCCCCGAATCGGCCGAAGAACCGAATTGCTTCAATTTTCTCACCAAACTAAAGAAGACTCCAAAGCGAATCTGACAACATTGGTTAAAATTGTCATTGCACCTTTACTTTGGGGATGATTCCCATGAAATGAATGCCTTGACATTTCCATGGGAGGTGCTGCCAATGGTGGCTGATCCCTTCTATGATGAGAAGCTGTGAAGCAATGATCCCAATCTCTTGGTTATTGAATTTCTACATAGCCATTTGAGGAAGGGGGCACTTCAACTATTTCAGTACCTTGATGCTTGGGGGGATGCAAACGCTTCCTCCACATGGGAACCACACCTGGAGGATGTGCAGAAACGCTTGAATGCTCCCGAGTAAGTGGAGAAGGAGCCAGAGGAACCACTGGACCTTTGCATTAAACAAATACAGTCTTAACTTAGATACAGAGTATACACAAGATACTTGTTCACGTTCTACTTCAAAGAAAGGCTCATGAACAAAAATATCCTACCCTGATGGCGAGAAGGTGGATAAAACAAGTCTGAGGGCGAATAAGCTGGACCGTTGATTACCCTTTTGCTTGAGTGAGGTTTGGGGAGAGAGGGTGGTGCAGAAACAGTGTTTCGGGACCTTGCAGGTTGCACAGGTGAAGCACCTACAGAGATAGAAAGCAGTAGTCGAATGGGTGAAAAAGCTTGGCAACTTTTCCTTTTCTCTAAATCAAGATTTCAGCATTTTGGACTACACAAAAAAAACTGTCATTGCACCTTTACTTTGGGGATGATTCCTGTGAAATGAATGCCTTGACATTTCCATGGGTGGTGCTGCCAATGGTGGCTGATCACTTCTACGATGAGAGGTGGATGGAGCAACCCATGGTGAGAGAGAAATACGATCTGTTTAATATGACAAGCACAACAAATAATCCAGACAAGTTTATTGAAATAATTCTAAGAGTGTTTAAACAAATGGAGACATTAAAAGTGGATGAAATGAGTCTTGAGGGTCAAGAAGCTGGACCATTGATTACTCTTTTGCTTGAGTGAGGTTTGGGTTGTGAGAGTGGTGCAGAAACAGTGTTTGGGGCACTTGCAGGTTGCACTGGTGAAGGACCTGCACAGATAGAAAGCAGTAGCTGAAGGGCTAAAACAATGTTGCTGAAAACAAAGTTACAACTTTTCCTTTTCCCTTAATTCAAGGTTGTAGCATTTTGGACTCTATGAAAGGAAGAGTTCAAATTCTCATTGCACCTTTAATTTGGGGTTGACTCCCATGAAATGAATGCTGTGACATTCCCATTGGCGGTGCTGCCAATGGTGGCTGATCACTTCTATGATTAGAGGAGGATGGAGAAACCCGTGGTGAGGGAGAAATACGATCTGTTTAATATGACAAGCACAACAAATAATCCAGACAAGTTTATCGAAATAATTCTAAGAGTATTTAAGCAAATGGGACACTAAAGTGAGAATTATTACTCTTTTCATTGGGTCCATGTGGTGCAAGAAATTGTACAGATGGAGGGATAAGCCTTGAATGTTTATGTTTGATGCTTATAACAGGAGATGAAGCAACCAAAGTCAAGGATGGTGATATATGCTGAATGCCAGGTTGCACCGGTAATGACTTGGATGGCGATGCCCTAGGAGGAGATGGCATCAATCCTATGTTATGACATTCAGATCATGATACCAAGATTAGCATAAGCTGGTTATTAAAACGAAAACTACATATCACCGGGACTGTGATGGTAGTTTCAATTCTGCAAAAGAGGGTTGATATCCATGTAGTTTATAGTATGTGTTTAATCAAAATAGCAAACGTTTGGAAATGAATTGGATGGTGATGCCCTAGGAGGAGATGGCATCAATCCTATGTTATGACATTCAGATCGTGATACCAAGATTAGCATAAGCTGGTTATTAAAACGAAAACTAAATATCACCAAGACTGTGATAGTATTTTCAATTCTGCAAAAGAGGGTTGATATCCATGTAGATATACATTTCATCAAAATAGAAAAAGTTCAGAAATGATTCTTTCTAGCTTTCTGAGCTGATGGGTTCTTTTTTAAAACCTCAATACAAAGTCCCTCATATTTCTCTATTAAAAAAAAACTCCTTTTGATGAGAACCAAATGTATGAGAACATTTCCAGCTTAATTGCATAATAATTTGTATTATAATAATTTGTTTATGCAATTATTTTTATTCTTCAGATTCATATCTTTGTTACAGATGTCCCAAAACAAGAGATGCTCCAGCATCTAATTTTCAGCCTGACGTTATAAACGCAACAACCATGTCACACCATATATATTGACTGCCCATACCTTTGGTATGCGGTTCATTGCTAATCGGTGCCTTTGCATGATACCCTATGGGAACACTTTCTCCAACATAAGGAGGCATTGATGGGATAAAATTTGAAGGGATGAAATCCCCTGCAAAAATAAAAGAGGCATCAACAAAGCTACATGAGTAACAAAGAGAATCATTTGCATGATAGTAAGAAAATTTCAGCAATGAGAGTTAAATGTTCACCAGGCAGTCCATGTGGTGATGGAGACAAGATTCTCGAGTGGTTATTTCCAGTGCCTGAGGGCTTAGATGGTGCACTTGGAGGCAAAGATGACTCTATGATTGGTGTTGATGGGTGAATGGATGGTGGTGTCACAGGCAATACACTTGAAGGCGATAAAACTGGCCCAACAACACAACAATGTCAAAGTCTATAATAATATGAAACAGTCATGCTACACATAAAATAGTAAATAGGAGGATATAGCAACCTTATCCTTTGAACTTACATCTAGGAATTGGAACTGAGATTGGTCCATTACTAGGTGCTTCTCCACTATTGGGCATTTGTTCACTGACACGAGGAGGCATTGACACTGTTGTTTGTGGTGACAAAATGGTAGACCCCAAATATAAATAAATTGTTTAAAACATCAGCAGAAACCCATAAAAATAAAGAACTGATACCAGACAGTTTGGGAGACAGGAAAATTTGTTAGGGTCCTTAACAGAAAGAGGCCTTAACCTCTCCGAGAATCATCATGCTAAAGCAAGCAAGTTAATTTGGTAGGCGACCTCAATTATTTTTATACTTCAGATTCATATCTTCATTACAGATGTCCCAGAGAAACAAACAGAACTACAGATGCTCCAGCATATCTAATTTTCAGCCTGACATTACAAACCAACAACCATGTGTCACACCATATATATTGACCACACATACCTTTGGTATACAGTTCATTGCTAATCGGTTCCTTTCCATGATACCCTTTGGGAACTCTTTCTCCAACATAAGGAGGCATTGATGGGATAAAATTTGAAGGGATGAAATCCCCTGCAGAAAACAAGGGGCATCACAAAACTACATGAGTAACAAAGCAAATGAATTGCATAATAGTAAGAAACATTTCACATATGAGAGTTAAATCTTCACCAGGCAGTCCATGTGGTGATGGAGACAAGATTCTCAAATGGTTATTTCCAGTGCCTGAGGGATTAGATGGTGCATTTGGAGGCAAAGATGACTCTATGATTGGTGTTGATGGGTGAATGGATGGTGATGTCACAGGCAATACACTTGGAGGCGATAAAAATGGCCCAATAACAAAACAATATCAAAGTATATAATAATATGAAACACTCATGCTGCACATAACATAGTAAATAGGAGGATATAGCAGCCTTATCCTTTCAACTTACATCTAGGAAATGGAACTGAGATTGGTCCATTACTAGGTGCTTCTCCACTATTGGGCATTTGTTCACTGACAAGATGAGGCATTGACACTATTGTTTGTGGTGACAAAACGATAGACCCTAAAATAAATAAATTGTTTAAAACATCAGCAGAAACCCATAAAAATAAAGAACTAATAACCAACAGTTTGGGAGGTAGCAAAATTGATTAGGGTCCCTAACAATAAGGGGATTTAACCTCTCCAAGGATTATCATGGTAAAGCAAGCAAGTTAATTTGGTAAGCAACCTGGCATTACTGAAGCAACTCAACCAGGACCTTTTCAGTCACTTGGTTGCAGCATATCCAGTCATCTTCTGTGCACAGATTTATTTAGTTAATATATTATTATTTCGTTGCTAAGCTACCTTAATTTCACATCTGTAGCTTAAAAGAGACTTATACTAACCCTTGCACAAATTTGGAAAAGATTCTAACGCTACAGAATGAATACTTAAATCTCCTCATTTTCAAGACCATCAGTGGTGGTCTCATAGAGGCATAGATCACTAAATGGTTGACAGTCAAAACCATAGGTTTATGGTAGGGCCTTTTGTATTGAAGCATACATGGCCATAATTCATATAACTGGACAGTGCCACACAGAGAATGGTAACATAAATTGGACACTCAGACACTCAAACAGGACATTAAAAGAGCATGCAGTTAGATCTACTTCCTAGGAATCATGAATGATTGTGACCCCATACAATAGAACGAACAACGAATTGACTAATGAAACTGGTGAGCTTATTTAATAGCTTCATCATCATTATCAGAGCCTTTTCTCAACTAATTGGAGTTGACTACATGAATCCTGGTCCGCCATTATGCTCTAATAGCTGAGTTAATAGCTTATTATTTTGAAAAAAAATGACAATTATTAGAGGCATCAAGAATAGTTTAAAATGCTTAAATAACGTGAATATGTAGCCCCTAAGTCATCCCTTAACTTGTTATATGTATAAACATGACTTTTTCTTTCCTCTTTGGGCTTTTGACATTTAAATAGAATAATAACAAAAATAATTCTCTAAAAATATATATGGAAGAAAAGCCAATACTTTCACAAGAAATAAATGAATAAGCGTTAATATCTCAGAAACTGGTAATTGTTCAATATTTAAGCTACTCTAAATTAATTTTTTAACAGTGTATTAGCTGAAGTGCGAATCATGCATCAACCAAAAACAGTTAGAAAAATACCAAAAAAAAATGGGAGAAAAGAAAGAGCCCAACCTTCCATTTAGTGTGTTGAGGTGCGGTGCTGGGTGGCATTGGCAACACAATGGTTTGAAGGACTGGGGGGATAGTTTGGGACTTTATTTTCTTTGGAAATAGCATCATCATTCCGTTATTTTTCAGTGACTAGAAAAAGCAAAGATTCTAGAGGTCTGTACTAAGTTTACCTGAAGGAACTAATGCTTCCACTGATGTGCTGTACTTCGGTGCATCTTCATGATATCCCTCGTTTAGTATTTGATCTCTAACAACAGGATGAACAACCAGATTGAGTTCTTGAGTCGAAGATCCAGAATGCCCTGTAAACGGTATACGGCCTCACGCTTTGCAACATAATATATTATCAAATCATGATGAATCAGCTTAGAATGACATCCCAACTATGAGGCCATGTATTACAGAACAACGTCAAATGGAGTTTGTATGTGTGTGACCTTAATCCAATGTAAGGAGAAAAGATAAATGGTAGAATAGACCCACTGCAAGTGTCCAAGGGGCATCACGCCAGACGGAGGTGCCAAGGTGGTTTGCTGACCTGAGTTCAATTACTAAAAAAGTAGATAAACCTCCACAACCAGCAGGAGAATGTGCAACTTGCCTCTCTGATAGTAGAGAACAAGTGCTTCTGTGAACAATCTGTCGGTTGATGCTCTCGATTTGAGCTTGGCATTTGAATAATCCATTTATTTAACTATTTCATGTTGGTTTTTATGCCATGGAAAACATGACAAAGTGCACTGCATAGTGCAGTCCCATTGTCAGAAAAATAAATGCATAAATTCAGGTGATCTGAACCCAGGTTCAAGATATATTTTATCCATATTAACTCAAGTAGTGAATGTCATATCCTCGTACTCTAATCAGTGTTTGTCCTTTATTAGTTTCTAATTAGCTATATTTCCTTCTCTCTCTTCCCACCAATTGATTTCATCCCATGAATACCCAAGAACAATTTGCAAACTCCAAAACCTGAAATAAAAGCATTTTGAGGCAGATCATACAAATTGGCCTCAAAACTTGGTACAACAATACAGTTGATCAAATTAGATGCAGTTTCATTCAAAGCTTCTGGAATGTTCCAAATTTGAATGAGGGTAAGGAAACTGGATTCTTCACAAATGCTCTCTATGTTCACACAGGTTGTTGCAATCATTAGGACAACCGACCCAATTAGCATCACTAGATACCATTAACCCTACTAAAAAGGGCCGTAACCCGGTGCTGGTCCCGCCTAAGCAGGGTCCCGGGAGGGGTGGACTGGAAACGATCCTAACCTTTGTCTTATGCACAAAGTGGCCACTCTCAGGACTCGAACCCACGCTCTTGCGCTGGCTACCCAAGCCTTTTACCGTCACACCAAGTGATGGCCCCTTATACCATTAACCTTAGTACCTTACTAATAAATGTTAATCGAAAACTTCAGCTTGGACCAGATTTCATGTAAATCAATATTTTGTAAACCACTTAGTGATATTGCTTGTGTAAGTTTTGCATAAATTAGAGAACAAAAACTCGTTGTATATAAACTGCTTAAGTAAATATTGACTCATCAAGTGGCGAGTTCTATAAATGAGAAAGTCAGGATGTGTCACATATACATGTCATCATTTTTTTAGTTGACAAACATACGGTTTCTTCCAATGAGGTAGCATGGTGTTATGACTTCGGTGAAGAGGTGGTTTTAAAACCTCATAATATTCTTTTTTTAATCTTTCACAAAAATCTTAAAGAAACACCAAGATTTTTTATATGTTTCACTCAAGGATATGATTTTAGCCATGGCCTAGTGGCCAGGAGTTTGAGTTTTCAATCACTAGCATGAAGCTTCTAAATGACTACTAAAAAACTAGACTCAGTTCTATCCATAGTTACCGGCATCTCTCCACCGACCTCGCGTTTCCGGTTTTGAAACCCGATTTCGTGTTTCCGTTAAGGAATCTCCACGAAAACCGTTTTTCAGAACCAAGGAAACTTGATTCAGAACCAAGGAAACTCGACACATCTTTAGATACCATTTTTCAGAACCAAGGAAACTCGATTCCTTAATTTGAAAATCTCGATCGCGCACATCTTTAGAAACCATTTATCGGAACCAAAGAAACTCGATTCCTTAATTTCGGAATCTCAATCCAACACACCTTTAGAAACTTGAACCCATTAATTGTGGGTAAACGTTCCCAAATATATCGAATCTGGATTCTAGCAAGGATTAAATCTTGATTCCACTTCAATTGAAGTATAAATCTTCCTTTGAAAGCTTCTAATGGTTGTCGGGTTTCATTATTTTACTTGTTCCACCCTGGATCGCTTTTACTTTAAATTTAAAATATAACTGGAAAACACATCACAAACAATTAAAAGTAAAACCATGGCATAGATATAATCCTATTTTGTCTTTATAATAATGAAGTCAAAATCACAATTTAGAAATACTTGTCTTTTGTATACAATGACCATAAGTTCAATAGTCAATAAAATCACTTTAAAATTTGAGAAACCTTCTAATAAGAAACATCCAATATAGGTTCTAAAGTTGATGAGGCTCAAGATGTGTTTATCGCTTCCTTCTCCATAAAAACAAAATCTCGATTCCTAGTAGGGGTCGACAAATGCATTCCATAGTCCATATTATTGTAAATCTCGATCTCAAACTGGTATGGATCTCTGATCCATATACATATACTTCAGAAATTTGATTCCAAAGATGTTAGAATCACGATTCAAAATATCAACATATCTCTATTTCACATATGTCAGAAACTCGATTCCATAGATGTCGGAAACTAGATTCCGCATATTAAGGAATCTTGACTCCTGGACTGTCGATTCTAAGGGAATGGGAATCTCCATTCCAAGGAGGACAGAATCTTGATTCCATATGTGGATGAAACTTGGATCTATTTCGGTCGAAACACGATTCTCAAAAACTAGGAATCTCGTTCCTAGCGATTCCTATTGTACGAACAACAATTCCTAAGACAGGAATCTTTGATCTAGTCGTCATTCCATGATTCCAGTTCCTAAAACGATTCGGGTTCCCAGGCATTTCCAACAACTATGATTCTATCAAAAATGCCAAAATCTGCAAAAGAATAAATCATCCATAAGTGGAATTGGTGGTCTCAAAATTCTATGAACCACTTCCAGATGTTGATTATGGGGCTTTTGCATGAACCTATTTTGCTCGTCTAATTGCAAATGATATATCAGGAGGACTAATTATAATAAAATCAAGGGACCCACTAGACCGCCATTCACAGTAGGGACTTCAAAGGGATCTCCATGCTTTCCTCAAGCTTTGTTCTTTTTCCATAGAGAATATAATCAATTTAGACGCTAGCATTTTCTCTTTCAAAAAGAACGATGTGGCAATCCTACATTATGACATACATACTTATCTTTCCATTTAGAAATCTAGAGAACCAGATAGAGAAAAAAATCCCTATTGAGAAAAGCATTCTTTACATATACATGAACAAGGTCGGTAATCTTCTCCTTTTATCTATCGATGGAACACAAGGAACTTTCATTGCTTTTTGCTAAAGAAGTAAAGGTCTCCTCACAGAGTAGTCCACGTTCTTGGGTGAAGCCTTTAGCCACAAGACATTCTTTGTACTTCTCACTGGATCCATCTATCTTGTGATTTATCTGGTAACTCATTCACACCTTAGTACTCTCTTCCTGGTATTAGTGGTAACAAACCCAAAATTTGATTTCCTTACAAGGTGTCCAACTTATCTCGCATGGCCCTTTGAACTAGGTGAATCACCAATTAACAAGGTTCTTTTTCTGAAAAAAATGCCAATTTAACTCTACATAAACTCCACCCTATCTTCCTTTAGAAAACTGCTGAACTAGCAAAAAGGGTAGCAGCCCTCTTGGAAATCCAAGTTCTCAACTCGTACCCTATGCATCTTCAAAGACTCGGACTTTGCTTGGAACTCATCTAGAACTTGTGACTAGCCAACTCAAAACTCGATTGTGGCCCATCAGATCTTCGTAACGACGATAATATGAGAAACATACAAAAAGAAAAATATACAAAATAATGAAAATTCATAAAAATAAATAAAAATAAATAAAATAATAATATAATGGTTTAAGCCCCATCTCCTAAACTTATGAACTAAAAGTGGTGGAAATAAAAAACAAAAAAACAACAAAATAAAAAGGAAAAAAAGGAAAAAACTGATGGCTGTAAAACCCCCGTAAATATACAACTTCATAAAGTCATGGAAAACTCAACAAGTCCATGAGGAGACTTGACGTTAATCTCATAATGAGACTTGGCCAAGTTTCTCAATTTCTTTTGGTTTCTTCCATTTTATAATTTCTATAACTTCACGAAACACAGGATTGGTCCAAGTCAAGTCAAGTCAACTTAGGTGAATCATGTGTCTGAATCCTCAAGCATCACATTTTAGGCCCTCTTACCTTATTCTCCTGTTTGACTTTTTGGGAAGCACAACACATCACCAATGAATCATTTTAAGAGGATTTAAAGAAAAAACCTATAGTAGGTTTAATGATGGTCATGGCACAAGATATTCTTGGCCCCATTTTGGCAGAAGATGAATTCTCTATCTTGTCAAATGGGCATAAGAAGAGCCATCCACATGAGTTTAACTAGCAGTGATCCAAATGCACACTAAGATGTTTTCCCGCTCCTTATTTGAATCTGTATCATAAGTCTCTTGACATGAAGTGGTGCAATATGCATAGTTGTTAGAATCCTACAGTCAAGTTAAGAGTCAAATTTTAGAAGTTTTCACTTATCTGCTACTATTTACATCTAGTGCCTTTTCAACCAATTATGTGATGAGTTTACATAAGCTAGATTCATTCGTATCTCATGCAAAATTTTGACAAGAGTTGAATCCTTAGCCATTCAAGTGATGGACTTTGCACAATTTGCATGGTAATTGCTGAAAATTGGACACCATCTTTAACTGCCTGTGATAGATATAATGTCCATAATGGTCAAAAGAGATACTCATGCAACTCCATTTCCATATGGACAAAAACAACATAATCCATCAAGGGGTTGATAGTGGCATTTTGGGCCACATTATCCTACTAGAGAAGATAGTTACCGAAATCTCTCTCCCAAGGCCACGATTCTCATTTGGAAACCCGATTCCAAGATTTCGACAAGGAATCTTCATGGAATCCATTTCTGTGAAATCAAGAATCTCGATTTGTTATATAAAAAATCTCAATTCCAACACTTATGGAATCTCGTTTCTAATATTTATTTACTCTTGATTCCTTAATTGTTGAATCTCGATTCTACATTTAT